ACCCTCAATGTGTGCCAGAACAAAAGGCTGCCTGTCTCTCAGGCCTAAGCTCCTAAACAAGCAGTTAGGCTTCTTTCTCAGAAATACTGGGGTGTTCCATCTGCCATCTGTGTAGTGCCCTAAGGGTAGTAGTCTGCCCTTATGTTCTCTTCGACTGTTACCCATTGGACCCAGGAACACAAACCACCCCACCCGCCTCCGAAGTCAGACAATAAAAGATCATCCCTTGGGTGTCAGTCATAAAAACTGGGGCACCAAACAGGTATAAAAGTTCCCCTCTGGAAGATAGTGTGCAAAGGGAGAGTGTATAGATGGCACCCACTGGCTAGAGTAAGGTTGAGGATTTGTGAAGGTGGGGCCCATGGAAAGAAAAAAGAATGATGCCCATAGACTGGAGACCAACATAGTGGGGGGTAAAGATGGTACCCACTTTGGGGATACGGGAATGCCTAGGTTTTTGAAAAAGCTCACAAGCACAATGCATTGTAGTGATTTTTTTTTTTTTTTTTTATTAACAAATGAGATTCTTTACCGTCAAGTCTGGTCAGGATCAGCTACTTCTGAACCTGGGTGTGAGGCAGGTAAATCTGAGTGTGAGAGTCTCTAAGATTCGTTTCTCAGATCACTGTAGACTTCTGGGTCTTGTATATGCAAGCATTGATTTTCAAAGCTAGCTGTTTTGAAGCTCATCTTTTAGCTGCAGTTCTTAAAAGTTGAAGTGCCCTATTTGGGGTTCAAACCCTTCACTACTTAGGAAGAAGCTGTGGTTTTTGAGTTCCCTCTTGATTGTGTGTTGTCAAGCCAAGGGTAGGTTTTACGGTAAGCATATGTTTCAATCTTTTCCTACCCGCTTTGATGTGGTCTTTTTCTTATTTGCCTGAATGTGTGGTTGTTTCTTAGCAAGTTTTTAGTTTTTTTTTTTTTTTTATCCCCAAAAGAAATTGTCCCATATTTAGCTGTAGATTCAGTGCATCCATGGGAGGAGGTGAGCTCAGGATCTTTTTATATGGCCATCTTGAGCTAGAACCTCTCTGTGCATTTGCATTTAAAATCTGAGTCAGTTTTTTCACATTTCTAGAACTCATTTTCTTATTATCTCAAGTGCGACTGAGTACAATTCTCAATAGTGGCTTAGAAAGAATTTAATTGACTATTTTATATACATTGTTTTGCAAAGAGCCTGGTTTACTCTAGCTGCTTGATAAATGGCAATAAATATTAAGTCCTGGCTCTTTATTCCTAGTTCATCTCTACTTCCACTTCTCAACATGGTTACCCTCATAAAGGATATTTCAGTGCCTAAATTCCAATTTGTGGTGGATAGACTCCAGAGTGGCTCCCATCATACTCCCCTCCTGACATTCATGCTGTTGTATTATCCTTTCCCCTGAGCAAAAGCGGGATGAGTGTTTTGCTTTTGATCATTAGCATTTGTTAAAGGTAAGAGAATATGTATGGTTAAATGTGTTTAATTACATTACATAGAGTTGTAACATTGATCTTTTTTAAAAAATTTTGTAAATGTTTATTTTGAGAGAGCAAGAGAGAGAGAGAGAGAATAAGAACAAGTAGGGGAGGGGCAGAGAGAGGGAGAGACACAGAATCTGAAGCAAACTCAAGGCTCTAACTGTCAGCATAGAGCCCACATGGGGCTTGAACTCACAAACCACGGGATCATGACCTGAGCCGAAGTCAGTTGCTTAACTAACTGAGCCACCCAGGTGCCCCTGCAACATTAATCTTTCAAGGAGATTCTTTTCCCTTGGCTGACCTTGAGGAAGCAAGAGGCCATTATGGGAAGAGATACATGGCAGTAAGTGTGGTCCTTAGTCTGATAGACTGCAGGGTAATGAATGTTGTCAACAACCATGTGAGCTTTGAAGTGGATATTTCCCCAGTTGAGCCTCAGATGAGACCACAGCCCTGGTTGATACTTTCATTGCAACTGTGTGATATCCTAAACCATGCCCAGGTATAAGAGACTTGACACAAGAGACTGTGAAATAATGTAAACCATTTTAAGCTTCCAGATTTTGTCAGTACTTTTGTGCAGTAATTGGTATTAATACAGGTCTTTATATTTGCAAGTAATCTTTTGAGAGGAAAAGTGTTTTATAAGGTATTGAATTCTTTAAATTCTGGGTAAACAAGTGTTTACTGCTTTACTGATGGTGCTGCTGAAAACATTTCTCAAAAGCAAACCAGATAGTTTTGTCATTGTATGTCATAAAAGCTGATGCTAAATATTGCTGGTCTCATAGCTCTCTATTAAAACTTAAGAGCTTCCGGGCATCTTATTAAGCAGTTTGCAATGGAATTTCATTGCAAATGAATGAAATGTACAGCAGTTTTGGGGAAGTGTGTGTGGTAAAAAAAAAAAAAAAAAGTAACAAAATCTACCATCTTAACATTTTTAAGTGTATAGTTGAATAGTGTTAAGTATATTCACAATGTTGTGAAACAGAGCTCCAGAACTTTTCCATCTTATAAAACTAAAACTCTCTACTCATTAAACAACTCTTATTTTCCCTGGCCCCACATAACTACCATTTTACTTTCTGTCTCTATAAATTTGGCTAGTTTAGGTACCATATATAAGTGGAATCATACAGTGTTTGTCTTTTTCTGTCTTATTTCCCTTAGCATAATGTCCTCAAAGTTCATCCCCATTGTAGCATGTGACCAGATTTCTTGCCTTTTCTAAATACAGATTTTTTATGTTTTTAATTATGAAATATTTCAAGCATAATGAAAAGCATTAAAAAATCTTAAAGAGTTTTTATAATAAGAAATGCTGATTACAAATTACCAGTTCTCTCTAACTCAGGAATTGTGAACTGGGATAATAGAATACTTTGAGTAAGCACATATTGGTAGACAAAATAAGAGATTTATTTTTCACATTTCTTGGTGGATAGTTCTATAAAGAATGTTTGATAGCGATGACAAAAATGTAAAAACACCTGAAATACACAGTATTATCTATATTTTATTAGAAATTAATTCATACTGGTTCACATAGTAACTTATAACCTAGATACATCTTAATAATTACATAAAATACAGTTAAACAGAATACAGAAGGAAGATAATATTTTTGTAATAAGTATACTGGGACTTAATAAAGTATTAGGCTTAATTCCTGTTGTTAACTTACACAAATGCAAAATAAACATGGGAAAGAATAACTGTTTTGAAATACTATTCTTATCATATTTTAAGAAACATGTTGAGTATAAAGTCAAAATAACCTGATAAAGCAATATCTTATTTAATATTTCCAGTTATACATTTACTTCCACTTATGACTGCACTAATTTCACAGAGCAAATACAGAAAAGAATTCATCTGTAAGCTCTTCTGTTTTCCACATTATTCTTCTTCCTCCTCATCTCCTTCTCCCCTTACTATTCTTATTTCCTTCATATGGAGCCATAATTTTTTTTCTATAGGAAATAAGTCGCTTCTCAGGATCACTATAGAAATGTACAGATTCAGTAAAAAAAAAAAATAGTGTTGAAAGATGATCTTTAACATATTAGAAGACAAAGAACCCTAATATGAAATCCTTTGCTTTATAAGATTACTTAGTTTATTGGCTCAGTTTATTTTATTTTGACTTTCTATTTTAGTGTCATTCTTATAAAATACAGTGTGCAGATTTACACAAAGCATCACAAAGCTGAAAGAAGAGAATTGATTAATTTGATTGTTACAGTGTTACTACAGGTAAGATTAGTGCTCATAGGTAAGACTAGGTGGAAAGTTCAGTTCTCATAAATATTTCTTACCATTTTTAAGTGGTCTATATAGAAGTTTTAGAAATTATTTCAACATTGTCTTAAAACACTTGGTTTGTGATTATACTGACCAACAAAAGTACATTTTTTAGAAATGTGTTACTTGGTAGACATCTGGCTACATGGCCATTTATATGTTTTTCTGTAGGAAATAATGCAAGAGATTTTCTAAGGTGGCCTCCTCTGCACTCTTAAGATTTTAGTTTTTTAAAAAAAATGCATAAGTACTTTCCTTTGGAAATTATCTAGCCTACACATATTATATAAAAATCACAGAATGTGGGAACATGGACAATCTGAGAACATCAGAAACATAATGTTCAATGTCATATGCTCTAAAATAGATAAGGCTTCTCCCAGATGTCCTGTAGATTGCTCAACAGTCTCATTGTCTTCTTTTTTTAATGACACTCATTCAAACAACTGTTTGGATTAATTATTAATTAATTTATGTATTAATTATCCACTAGATGGTTAACTCTGTAGCAGGTATTGGGGAAACTATGGAACCCCTTAAAGAGGGAGACTTCATATTATAAACCCTTTGAGGTCTTTATAATCGAATACCATGCACTACTAGGAAGGATATAGTAATTATAACTAGATATGGAGGACTCTAGAACCCATTCCATTGTGTGTGTGTGTGTGTGTGTGTGTGTGTGCATGTGTATGTGAACGTACTAGAAATAAGAAAAGTAGCAGAAACTATGGGATTGCTGTAATGAGTTTTAAATGCTATTTGGGGAGAAAGATGGTTTCCAGTTGGGAAAAATGGTAAGTGTGTGGCTTGAACCAAGAGGATAATAGGCAGTTGCCTAAACACGGAGACACTGGGTATGGGATCTGAAAGCATATGATTGAAAGTTAAAATATGATGTTTGAAAAACCATTATAGACAGAGATAGGACTAAAGTTATATATCAGGAGAATGTCTTTGTGGCTATGATTAAGATAAACTGCATGAGGAAGTGGCTTTGGAAAAGGAGGGTGGTACACTGGTGGGTTTTAAAAGTGACTAAGACCTGGACTTGGGCTACAGGTATAAAATTAAATTGAAATTTTCAGTCAACCCTCAAGGGGCTATGTTACTCCATTCAACTTAACATCCAACTGCTGTATTTAAAAATCCTTAGGGAAAAGATTTCCAAACATTTTGTCTGTTGTCATAGATACTTCAAGACTGAAAGAAGAAAAAAAAAATAATTCAAAGGGAACACGAGATGGCAGCAGTTATATAAAGAGAAAAACTGAGGAAAGAAAAAACATTTTGAAATTATTTTTAAAGTAAAAAATATGTAGCACTTTATTCTTTATATGGTGTCTCCTTTTCATTTCAGAGATTACTCAGTTATTGGTTTCATGCTTCACAGCACATCTGAGGTTCATTCTGACTATAGTAAAAATCCTACTCCATTACATGTGATTATTTCCTAAAATAAAGCTGTTGCTGTTTTCTGCAGATTATGGTTCCTCTGTGTTATCTGAGACAGAAGAGTTCTGGATGGTGCAAAATTGTTTTAAATGTTCCAGCATTGCTTTTTCTTCCTCTTCTAGTCTTTCATCCTTTCTCATTTCCCACCTAAAAGAAAAATCACATCTTAGTATTTTTGTAACTTCCAAACTATAGTTAACACTCACATATTCAAGGCTTGAATACCATAGTCACTGGTTTACTAATACGTCTGCCTTCTACTGACTGCACCAAGATCACTGTCCCTGCTCTTGCGGAGTGGGCCAGAGAATGAGAGAGAAAAGTGGAGTCAAACCAGTTCTACCCCAGGGTAAAGTTTAAAATATTAAATGAGGTTTCTGAATATGTTAATTTTATAAATGTATATGCCTTACTAGGATATACATGCATATAAATAAAACCTAGAATTAGCAATTAATAAGTAAATATTTTCTGTAGTATTTTTCCCCACTGATCAGCGTATCAGTGGCTTTAAGCTGCAGAGAGATTTGGCAGGAAGACTTCAGCAGCAAGAAGAATATTCAGCTAAAATGAATATATTGTACCTTAGGTCAGTCTATTCCTAAAAATAAGATCAGATTTGAAGTAATCAGGTTAAAATGACCCAAGAAAAGCAGCAAATTGTTAGCAAAATTCAATAGAGATTTGGCTAAAAAAGAGAGATTAAAGACTCTAATTTTGGGTGATTGAGAGATATAGAACACAATGGTAAAATATGAAAATGTATATGAATGTAATCTTTAAAGTAACTAGCACAATAACCCAAGTATAGTTAGTTCCTCCTTCTCCTTCCTCTTTCATATATGCCACTTCCTCAGGACTGGCCAGGGCACATTTAACCTAGCAATCCAACAATGAGTCATCTGCATATATTTTCTTTCTCTTTTTCTCCTATTTCTACCAAGCCCCAAACCATCCACCGTGACATGAAGTCACAATGGATTTTAAATCCAATGTATTAATCCTAAAAATACCCTAAAAAGATATATCCTAAAAGACCATCTATGATAAGGGAAAAGAATTTCTAACAAGCAAGTAGCTGTTCACTGAATGTATTCGAGAAGCCCACTATTTTATTATAGTCAGAACTCCTGGATAAGAGTTTGTCATACATGAAGAAAGTATATTGAGTTTGGAATGGGATCTTTCTAGTTTTTCTTAATGACAAGAAAAGAAAGCGAGGACATTGCATTTTCCATAGAAACTTCCTACTGGGATCCTTGTTTTTTTCCCACACAGGTTTTCTTGTAGTATTGGGTTCACTATGTCCTGACCAGTCCTGGGAGGTGGTTTATATAAAGCAGGAAGGAAGAGTGGAGAGAAAGAGCAAATTATCTGAGAGATTAGACACTGGTTTAATTTATATTTCTTCATCATTGCCTGCCTGGGATTCTCATATCCTAGCCCCAACTGTGGCTGGATCTAAAAACTATTGTTTATGGTTGTCTCAATTTCCCTGTATGTTCCCATATGGTCAGAGTTATGTCATTGGTCATATAGGTTTTAGTAACAACTTGAAGGATAAAGAGATTTTTCACTGCTACACTGTTCAGTTATGTGACAAAGGGCAGTTATCCTTAAGTCAGTAATTTCAAATTTAAAATTTAGCCTGCAAGGCACTTTATACTATTTTCATGGAATTTTAAAGATAAAAACTGTCACTACCCATTTTATACAGGTGAACTTGGTCATCATTAATATGCATATTAAGTTGAACTCCTTCCAACCAGGAATATATAGTAACAGAAAATACTTCTATAGCACCATGTCTTAGGCACTGTTTTAAACATATGACATATCACTCTTTAAATCTGTACTAGAATATGTGTTGTTTCCATTCTACAGAAGGGTAAACTGAGATATAATGTTAATGTCATTTGCCCAGATATCTTTGGATTGAAATCAAGGAGTCAGGTTCTAAAGTCTAGGCTTACAAATGCAACACTGACCATGATTTTTAAAGCATTTTACAGGTATCATTTGTTAATGCTAAAAATAGTTCAAACATTTTATTTCCTAAAAAATGTTGACCAAATTGGACTAGATATTAAAAAAAAAAAGAAAAAAGAACTTTCTAAAATTAATGTAAATACTTTAAAGAAATCCAAACATGAAAATTTAGGTTTGCCTTTTTTATTCCATGGAAAGGTGCTAATATTGTACTGAGTAAATGAATTATTTTATGAATGTCAACAGAACAAAATATGTGATATGTACATAAATATTTTGATCATTGTCTCTACTTTTGAAAATTGAAAGCATGATCTCTCCTTCATTTAAATATCTGTATAATTAATGTAATTTAAATGAATTGTATACCTAATAGAATCCAAGATAAGGATTTTTGAAGCTTCATGAGAATTGTGGGTACCTCACAGTATAATTGAGCTGTTAGTAATTAATGATCTTAAGCAACATAATTTGTCTATCACAGCCCTTTTATATTTGCCTGGTGCTTATTAAGAAGAAATCATTTCATACAAGAATAAGAAATTTTGACAGAGATAGAGAAAATAATATTCAAACTACATTTTCTCTAATAATTTCACTTTAATTGAATAAAGCATTAGAGATTTGAAATGTATGTTTATATCAAGCACTGTTTTATTTTAAATCTATAAAATTCTCTTGAAGTATGATTGACATTAGAAGTATGATTGACATATTAGTTTTAGATATACAATCTATTGATTTCATATTTATATACATCACAAAATCACCAGGCTGAGTCTAGTGATAGACTATTACCATACAATATTGTTGTTACAATATTGTTGACTATATTACCTCTGTTGTACAGTATATCCCCACAATTTATTTATTCTATAACTGGAAGATCGTACCTCTAATCTCTTTCAATTATTTCACCAGTTATTTTACCAGATAGGAAGCCTGTACCTGCCTCCCCTCTGACAATCATCAGTTTTTTCTCTGTATTATGAGTCTCTTTCCTTTTTGTTCACTTCTTTTGCTTTTCAAATTCTACATGTAAGTGAAACCATAAGATATTTGTCTTTCTCTGACTTATTTAACTTAGCATATACCTCTGGTTCTGTGCATGTTGTCCTAAATGGCAAGATTTCATTTTTAATGGCTGAGTAATATTCCAATGTGGGGTGTGTGTGTGTGTGTGTGTGTGTGTGTGTGTGTATTATTCCAATGTCATTTCAATATTATTCCAATGTCATATATATATATACATATATATATATATATATACACACACACACATATATATACACATACACCATCTTTATCCTTTGATCTTTCTCTGAACACTTAGGTTGCTTCCCTATCTTGGCTATTGTAAATAATACTGTAGTAAACATGGGGTGCATAAATCTTTTCAGATTAGTATTTTTCGTTTTTTTCCAGATAATACCCAGAAGTGTAATTGATGATGAATCATATAGTAGTTCTATTTTCAAAATCTTTTATAAGGTTTGTTAATTTTGTGGGAGAGAGAGACAGAGTACAAGCAGGGGAGGGGCAAAGAAAGAGGGAGACACAAAATCTGAAGCAGGCTCCAGGCTCTGAGCTGTCAGCACAGAGCCTGATGTGGGGTTCAAACTCACTGACTGTGAGATCATGACTTGAGCCGAAGTTGGACACTTAACTGATTGAGCCACCCAGGCGTACCTCTATTTTCAATTTTTTAAGGAACCTCTTTACTGCTGTTCATAGTGACCACACCCTTTACATTCCCACCAACATTGCAAGATTTCTCTTTACCACATCCTTGTCAACATTTAGTATTTCTGGTCCTGTTGATAGTAGTCATTTTGACATTTATGAAGTGACATCTCATTGTGGTTTTGACTTGTATTTCTCTGATGATTAGTGATGCTGAGTACCTTTTCATACGTTGGCAATCTGTATGTGTTTGGAAAAATACCTATCCAGGTCCTCTGCAGATGTCTTAATCAGAGAACTTGTTTTTTTGATAGTGAGTTTTGAGGTTTTTAAAAACTATTTTGGATATTAATTCCTTATTGGAGATAATATCTTCTCCCATTCAGTAGGTTGCCTTTTTGCTCTGTTGGTTTTAGTTTGATGTAGTGCCATTTAAAAATTTTTGCTTTGAGGAGGGCACTTGGGGGGATGAGCACTGGGTGTTATATGGAAACCAACTTGACAATAAACTATTTATAAATAAATAAAGGGCTGTGTATAGAGAAATAAATAAAAATAAAATAAAATAATTTTTTTTTGCTTTTGCTGCCCTTGTCTGAGGAGACTGATCCAAAAAAAAAAAAAAAAAAAAATACTGCTAGGACAGATGTCAGAGAGCTTGCTGCCTATGTTTTCTTCTAGTTTTAAGGTCTCATGTCTTCACTTAAGTCTTTTATCCATCTGGGTTTATTTTTATATATGGTGTTAGAAAGTGGTCCAGTTTCATTGATTTGGTTGTAGCTGTCCTGTTTTCCCAACACCATTTTTTGAAGAGACTCTTTTCCCCAATGTATTCTTGCCTCCCTTTGTCATAGATAATTGGCCATATAGTCATGGGTTAATTTCTGGCATGTCTATTCTTATACATTGATTTTTATGTCTCTTTTTTTGCCAGTACCATACTGTTTTGATTACTGTAGCTTTGAGGTATAGTTTGAATTAAGGAGCATGGTACCTACAGATTTATTCTTCTTTCTCAAGATTGCTTTGGCTACTTGGAGTCTTTTGTGGTTACATAAAAATTTTCAGATTATTTGTTCTTGTTCTGTGAAAAATGTCAGTGGTATTTTAATAGGGATCCCCTTGAATCTAGATTGCTTTGGATAGTGTGGACATTTTAACAATAATCTCCTTCCAATCCATAAGCATGATATATTTTTCCATTTATTTGTGTTCTCTTCAGTTTCTTTCATCACTGCCTTACAGTTCAGAGTGCAGGTCTTTTGCCTCTTTGTTTAAATTTATTCCTAGGTATTTTTTGATGCAGTTATAAATGGGATTGATTTCTTCTCTTTCTTATAGTTTGCTATTAGTGTGTAGAAACACAAGAGATTTCTGTATATTTTTTATCCTGCAAATTTATTGAATCCATTTGTTAATTCTAATAGTTATAATAACTAACTCTAAGAGTTTTTCCAATTTTTTATATATAGTAT